TATTGATGATCTTGATAAGGACACAGAGTGTATTATCAGTGAGTTTGCAGCTGACACCAAGCTGGGCAGGAGTGTTGATCTGCATGAGGATAGGGAGGCTCTACAGAGAGACTTGGATAGATTAGATTGTTGGGCTAATGTTAATGGTCTGGGCTTCAACAAGGCCAAGTGCCAACTCCTGCACTTGGCCCACAACAACAGGCAAAGCTCCAGGCTGGGGGAAGTGTGGCTGGAAAGTGTCTGGCAGAAAGAACCTAGGGGTTCTAATTGACAAGTGGCCGAACATGAGCCAGCAGTGTGCCCAGGTGGCCAAGAAAGCCCATGGCATCCTGGCTTGTACTAGAAATAGCAGAAGGAGAGAGGTGATTGTCCCCCTGTACTCAGCACTGGTGAGGCCACACCTGGAGTGTTGTGTCCAGTTTTGGGCACCTCAATTCAAGAGAGATATTGAGGTGCTGGAGCAAGGACAGAGGAGGGCAACGAAGCTGGTGAAGGGCCTAGAGAATCAATCTTATGAAGAAAGTTTGAAGGAGCTGGGAATGTTTAGTTTAAGGAAGAGGAGGCTGAGGGGAGACCTCATCAGTCTCTGCAACTACTTGAGAGGTCATTGCAGAGAGGTTGATGCTGGTCTCTTCTCACAGGTCATTAGAGACAGAACAAGAGGGAAGGGCTTCAAGCTGCACCAGGGGAGGTTTAGACTGGACATTAGGAAAAGCTTTCACAGAAAGAGAGTGGTCAGATACTGGAACAGGCTGCCCAGAAAGGTGGTTGAGTCACCATCCCTGGGTGTGTTTAAGGGTGGTTTGGATGTGGTGTTGATGGAGATGGTTTAGGGGAGAACTTTGTGGAGTAGGGATGATGGTTGGATTTGGGGATCCCAAGGGGCTTTTCCAACCTGAATGTTCTATGATTCTATGATCTCAAAGCAGATGAGGATTTCTAGTGAGATTTTTCTTCTCTCACCATCCCTGCCCAGGATCTCACAGCTCCATCTAACTCTGCAGATGTCAAGGGGAGAAGTTGCTGTTGATTTCCATGGAGCTGGTATTGCAGCATCCTAAGCTACCACATTTGGGTCTGGGGGCTTTCTGTTTCTGCCCCTCCAGCTCAGATTGGGGCCACCTGGAGAACTGAAAAGCTGTGTCTAAACAACAAGAAACAAAGGAAAAACTTCTCTTGTTTCTAGTGGGTTTTCTGGGGTCTGGTTGTCTCAGAAATGGGGCAAAACAGAGATGGCTCCAGGTCAAATACAGACTATAGATAAATGCATCTCATCCATGAAAGCTGCAGTATTTTGGCAAATGCCAAAGCAAAAAAGGTTACTCTGGAATATTATTTTGAATAGGTCTGGGAACAAACCCAGCATTAATTTCCAACACTTATTCAGCAAACAATTTGAATAAACTGAGGGAGGCTTGCACACACATACTGACAGCATTATTTGGTAGATTTTTCCCTCTGCTCCTTAGAAAATTTATGAGAAAACAACTCTCAGCAAACATGATCGGCTTCCAGCTTGAAGCATGGAATCTCCTGACTCTATCCTGGGGACAAGGTAGCCTCTCAAGATCACTTCCAGCCCAGTTTTAATACCATTTTACACCGCAAACTGTTTACACGCTGGCATTTGCTCCGATTCATCCCTGGAAATAAATATGTCTAAAAGAGTAATTGATGTAAAGAAAACACTAGAAACCCAGCAGCAGTTCCCTCTCTCAAGGACAAAGCAGAGGAAAACAACCAGACATGGAGCTACAACATCCTCCATCCAAATGTTTTCCAAAACACTTCCAAATGTTTTCCAAAGCTTCCAGCTGAACCTCTCACAGCGCTCAAACTCCAATGTCTGGGGCTATGGCTGTTATCTGAGTGTGGCATCATTGAGGAGACAAGTGGAGATGACTTTGTCAATGACACACACGTCTAAGCACACCCAAGACCCTTGTTTAGAAAACACAGTTTCAAAGAAAAACTGTCCCTGCTTTCTCAGTGGGGCATCTCCCAAGGTGCTGGAGCTCGATTGCTACGTGGGCTTTCAGGAAGGGAGAGACAGTGAATGCAGGTGGCCAAATATCCTCACCTTCACAGCAAGCTTTTGAGTCTAATCCATGCACCTTAGGAATTCACTCCTCTGCCTCTAATCCTTTGGAATGATGAAAAACATAAAATAAAAAGATAAAATTATTTCTCTGTATTATTTTTTAAAACCCACTTATGAAAAGTAAAGAGAGAAAAGCTCACGTTTTCCACACTTCAGCAAGAAGTGCTGAAGTTCTGACTGAACACTGACAAACGTGGACTTCTGTGGTTATTGCCCAGCCAAAGCTGAGATGGTTCTGGGAGATGCTGGTCTGAGCAGCAAACACAGAGGGTGAGCAGCAGGTTCTCAGCAGTGCTCAGCTGCACACATTGACTCTGGAGACCAGGACACACAGCCAGTCCCTGTCCTAAGCCTCCTCACCCTGCTGCTGATGTGACAGCTTCCACCTACACCAGTGGCCCCATCAGAAATGGCAGTGCCCATAAAGCAGAATGTTTCAGAGGTCCTTCAAGATCTCCACCTCTTTCAACTTGCTTCTGGACACAACCAAAACCCAAAGCAGGCTCCTTTCCTAGGGAGCCCTTCTATCAAGTCTACGTGGGCTTTTGATTAGATCTTCTGTGGAGCTGAAAAAAGAGCCTTGCTCGAGGATGATAAAGTCTAGACACTACAATATATTTTCCAGCTGATCCAGCAAACCTAAAAAGCCCTCCCTTGATCTCGGACTGCCATGATCAAAGCCATTATCCCATTTGGAGCCCTTCTGAAACTTTAGCTTCCAAATGTGCAAGTTATTTTAAAAATCTAAACCAGGCTAAGCCTCTCATTCAGAGTTTTACAAGGAAAATGGGGTGTGCTCCTTCCAAACCTTCTCCCCTGCCACATCTGGAGGTGGCTGGTGGGCACATGGGGAAGAGTGAGAGCAGGGAAGCAGCCCCAGTCATGCCTGGGGGCACCTCAGTGGCACCTGCTGGACATGGTCTGCTTGTATGGGGCACACAGCCCATCCCCAGAGGGTGGTTACAATGTGGGGCAATATTCCCCATCCTTAACTTAGATGAAGTTCTCTGGAGAGCAAACACCATTTGCATCCCCATCCTTAGGGTTCTGCCTGCTTCTGGCATCCTCCATCACAGGATTGTGTTCTTCTGGGGCCCAAGAAGAAGAAACAGCTTGAAATACCTTCATTTTCTACAGGAATTAAATAAAACTAAATGCTATAAATTTCCTTTGCCAGGTAGCAGGATGCCCAAGGGCACAAATAACAGTCAGTTCTGTGCCAAGGGAATACTGGGGAAATAAGATATTCCAGGACAATAATAACCTTCCAGATTCCTGCAGGAGCATTTTAGGTGGCTGATATGAAAGAAGAAATGCACAGCCCTGCAAATGCACAGGAAAGCCAAAGGGGCATCAGCTTTGTCTTCAGTGGGATGCTCAAAGAGAGGTGACAAAAACAACAGCCAGACCATCCCAGACTAGGCAGCACCACATGGGGAGCACCAAACCCTCTGGTGAGCAGTGGCCACCATGAAAGCCTCCACCAGCTTTCCAGATGCATAAATGTCAAGGAAAAAAATCAGGTTGACAGCCTTCCTTAACAGTATTTCCACCAAATCAGACTCTTCCCACCCCTACACACGCCAGAGCAGAAAGAGCAGGGACAACCTGGTGCTGGCTGCAACACCTACCATGCTGGTCCCAGAGGGGATGGAGAATTTGCTGGCATCTCCCCAAAATGTTGCTCAGGAGCTGGGTGGAATGTGGGAAACCTGCTCAGCTTCAGCTCTGCCGTGGCAAAGAGTCCAACATGTCCTTCAGCACAGTGGTTTGTCTTTACACTTCCCAAAAAACACAGAGAGGAGATGGACTTCCACCCTAGCCTCCATGCAAGTGTGTTGCTGGGCCTACTAAAGCCACTAAAGCTCTGCAGATCTTGATGGCCCCAACATGCACTCGCCCTGGCTCCTCCTCTCTAAGGAGCTTCTCTTGGGGATGGTGGGGAGCAAAGCCTCACTGTGCATCCAAAATCCCCAAGAAGGGCTAACACAGAGTTACTGACCTTGAAAACTTAAGGCCCCCATCACAGGGAAGAGCAGAGGAGCTGATGGCTGTGGCTGCTTCTGGATTTAAAAGGATCTAAACCCACCATGGGAGCAACATGCACCCAGAATCATGCCCAGGGTTTGCATATCTGACATGATAAATGAGGTGGTGAGGGCAGCCAAGCAGCCAGCAACCCAGTGCACAACCCCCATCAACACCCCAGCTTGGGAAGAAAGGGAAATCAAGGGGGAAAAAGCAAATCATCCAGCCTCCCACTGCCACCAGCACAGCAGCCACCTGCTCCCGGTGATAAGTACGAGGGGAAAATATCAAGAGATTGATTTAAGTGCCAGGCACGAACCTTCTGTGAGGCTTCCCAGCCCTCCTGTCCTCTCTGCAGTGCTTCTCTGTGTCTTTCTCAGCTCTCATGTTAAAGAGAGAAGAAATGTGTATGTCACTAGTCCCCCTTCTCAAACCAAACATGCAATACAGGCTCAAAGCCAATTGAATTTCCAATCCCAGCAAACTTACCATGGCAGTGTCTTTCCAGAGCTGTGATTTTGAGAAGGGATACCACTAAGTTAAGGAGCCAAAGGTGCTACTGTAAAAGCAGAAGACTTTTTTTTTTTTTTCTCTTTTTCCCCCTCCCAAAATGACAGGGAGTAACTCAGGTCTTGCCAGTTTAGAGGGATACACACACAGGTTGGGCTGAAATCAAGCTCATTCAACTGGCTGGGTCGTTAAGCACCAATCCAAACCCGCAGTCCTCTGATCACTGCACAATGGGCTGGGAACCAAAGGCAGCTCACAATGAAACCCATGAAGAAAAAAAAACAACCTTACAACCCCCCCCAAGCAGAATCCACCAACACCATCCCCACCCTCCTGTCCTTTTATTTTGGTATTTACTTACATAAGCAGCATGACTTAACTTGGAGGAAATCAGATGCTTAACGATGAAGTGACACTTTAGGCAGCACTCTGGTGGATAAATACGCCCTTTGCAGACCCTGCAACAAAAACAGAAGGTATAAACAGACAGTAACTAATTATTCTGATTAAATCTTGGAAGACCTGAAACACCCCACTGCAGCAGAACAAAGCCCGCGTGCGCTCGCAAAAAAAAAATCAGTCACACCCTTTTGGAAAAGAATCCACCCGAATAAACCCAAGTGCTCTTGTGTTGTTTTTGTTTGCGTGCGTGTTTCTTAAGGTCTAGGTGGGGAGGAAACCTCTTGCCATTCCCTGGAGGGATCTCGTCGCCTTCAGCTAAAATTAGACTTCAAGGAAAGAGGGAGAAGGCGGGTGTCTGCGACCTGTGAGGATCCCACCGCGGCGGGGCTTCTCCTCCCCTCCCACCGAAACCAAAAGGAGAGGGGGCTTGGGGATTAAAGAAAAGAAGGAAAAATCAATAAAGGAGGAGTGCTTCTAGGGTGAAAGGAGTGGGACAGCACGTCTACCCTGCTGCTTGGCTCAAAGGAGATCCAAGCCAGGACCAGGATGCAGGGAGGTGGGGATTTATTTAGCTGAGCCACGTGGACCGGATGGGATGTGATAGGATACTCGACCTGGTGGTGAGAGGAACTGGCAAAGCCCACCAGCATCTCACCCACCATCATGGATGCAGAGTAAGGTACTTGCTTTATTGTGGTCCACGACACCAGCCACGGGAGTCTCTGTTGGAACGATCAGCGTGCAGGACAAGCAGACATTCCCCTGCTCTCCTTATCGTGGAGGAAAACCATCATTTTCTTCCTCCCCTTCTCTCTGCCCTTCCCCCATCACATTAAATGCCAACAGAGCTCAGGGGAATATTTAATCTCAAACCTCAGTAATCAATCAGTTCACCCTCACGCATGAGAAAGAGCCACAGCAGTAAGCACCAAATCCCATTTCTACCCAGCAATACAACGTTTTAATTACATACATAAAATTTCCCTATTAACATAAATCCTGAACAGATCCAGGCAGTCCCCTGGGCTGCCAGTGGGGAAGGACATGGTGCCAGGGAAGAAGATAAGGACAGAGTGGGGGGGAAAAGGGAAGAGTAACCATCCTGGCAATTATTTACAATGACAACTTTGCACAGCTGCTCCATCCTGCCATTGGCACCACGATGCTCTGACCTTGCCTTTGCTGTCCCAGAGGTTGGACAGCACCATGCTGAGCAGCAAGGCTACATCCAGCCCTGTCAGCAGAAGATGCCTTGGTTTTATCCCAACGTGCCAGCAAGCATGCAGGAAAATGGGGATAGAAAACACACAACAGACACACACAGAGAGGTTTGGGTCAGGCTGTGATACAAGAAACAGCAATCAGGCCTTGCCACCAGTGCTGCAAGACCTACTCCAAAATTAGTTCACATCACTGGGAGCCCTTCTAGCTGAGTGTGAGCAAGTGTGGGTTAGTTCCCTGTAAACACTCCATTTTTTCCCCAAGTTCAAGCACAGCTGGACCAGCAAGTCCACCACAAACTACCAGTGCAACAGGTAGGCAGCTGCAAGCAACATCCCTCCTTCTCCCAATCAGACCAGTCCTGAGTGGTGGAGCTTACAGCCAGCTATATTAAACATATATATAGAGAGAGTTTTTTCTAAACATAAACACATGCACAGACGTTTCTCATCTGTAGGAACAAAAGGGGGGACACCCTGCTGAAAGCCTGTGTGCAGCTCTGCTCTCTCTGCAGTGCTGAAGGAAATGAGAAGCAGAGCCCAGGCACACACCCACTTGCTGCCGCGTGGTTTGGCTCTGGGAGCGTTGCTGGATTTCCCAGAATGAGCTCTGACCTCCAAGAGCTGCAAAAAGGTCTCTGAGCCACTCTGGAGGGAAGCAGAGGGGTCCCCAGGTGCTCAATTGGGCAGGTGGAGTGAGACAGGGAGACAGGCTATGGGTGCCCATGGGGACAGCTGACCTCAGTCCATGAGAGGTTCCCAAATCACCCACTGGGCCCCAAGAACGAGTCAGAAAGCACCTCCCACATATGACAACAGCCTTGTATCCCTGAGCACAAACACAACATCCCAACCCCATGGCATGTAATAGAAAGCAAGGTGCCCTCCCAAGGGCTGAGGCCACCCTCGGCCACGGCTCCAGTCCCACCAGCCCATGGTGCTCAGAAAAAGCAGTGAAGACAACCTGGGGACCTCAGGATTAATTTTTTACTTCTCCATGTAGCAGGGCTGGGCTTTTGAACCCTCTTTTTTTCCAGGCAGATCCTGTGATGGGCTTCCTCAACACACACGCATCACTTTCAGAAGATGCACAATCCTTGGCCTGCAAGAGCAGTTTTTGGAAAGGGAGGTGGTGCAGTGCAACAGGAATTGTCCAGTTCCTCTCAACAGGGAACATCTCTCAGAGATCTGCCAGGGAAATCCTACCTGCAGCCAAGATTTCTGCACCACAGTCTCTTTCCAAAGGTCAGTGCTCCCTCCCCTCCTTTAATTTTTGGCTTCAGTTTCCCCAAGACTTGTAACATCAGGAATTGCTTGGCACAAAGGACAAATTCCTCAAGCTCCATATACCGACCTCAGGAAACTATTACACTTACACCCTGCCTAACCTCTTTAGCCCACTTTGGGAGATGCACAGTTAAGAGGGACTGGGCACCATCAGTGGCCTGCAGCATGTTCCTGGAGGAGCTATTCATACCCCATCTTCTCCTGGGAAGCAGGATTTGGGAGTGCAAATCAGGACAGAGACACTTGATGCAGAATCTAGAGCAAATTAAACCTCCCAGGCACAGCAGCAAGCATGGATGTATTGATTCATGGAAAATGTCCTCATAAATTACTTCATTCAGATCAATGGGACAAGACAAAATGAGGGCTGTCCTCAGCAATGAGAGGTTGCAGTGCTACCATTTCAGTCCCATGCTCCAGAAGAAACCACTTTTTCAGAGCAGATACTTTTAATAGGGCTTCATGGGGCTGGCAGAGACTGATGCAGAGGCCAGCATGGATCTGTGCCACATCTGACCTGGTCCCCAACTCTCTGCCCCATGGCAGGCTGAGCTGACAGATGATTTTTGCAAGCAAATAGGTACAAATGCTGCTTGGAGCCTGCTTCACATCCACAGAGGCTCCATCTACACATGCTTGTTGGCTCGTGTAGGACTGCAGCCACCAGGCAGGGCGGGATGGGGGGTCTGGTGTAGAGGCTGCCTCAGCTGATGGCACCATATGTGCTGCTCCCCCAAAGAGATCTGCCTGCCATGGGGCAGGGAGGAGGGGATTGGGCAAAACATGGCAGAGATCCACCCTGACCTGCTCTCATCATCCTCCTCCAGCCCCATGAAACCTCATTACAAGTGTCTGTTTTAAAACATTTCTCCTGGGTATGGGGCCCCCATACTCATTACCCTTACCCACTTCTCTCAATCCCAAGGGCTGATCGTGCCTTCATCAAGCTCAGTCTCCCTCTTAGGACTAACCATGGTCTGGACCCAGGATGTTGAGATGAGGACAAGGCCATTTTCTCTGAGTGTACCAGCAGTTGATGGCAGCTCAAAAATAACTAGATACCCAGATGTATCCGTGCCTTCCTCTGGACAATGTGCACCCAACTTCTGTTTCTAGAGAAGGGCTGTTTGCTGGACTGAAGAGCCACTGGAGCCCACCACCTCTCCCCTGACAAAAAGACACACACTCACAGCTTTTAGCTTCTTGATGCAAAGGGGAGAGAAGCACTCACATTTCCCTGGCATGAAGCATTTCCCCAGTTTTTATGCACAGGTGGCACTTCCCTGCACCCCCATCAAGTCCAACCAGCTCAGCAGAAGCTCCCAAACCCCTTTGGTGGGAACACTCATAGCTGATCATGGCTCAAACTGCTTTCCACAGCTCCAGATCACCTCCTGGGATTACTTCCCAACATCCTCACCTTCAGATCATCCCCTAGTTTTTCAAATAAATGCTAATTTGAGATCTATTTTTAAAAAAACCATCAGCAAAGATGCTGAGTCACGTTGGATGCCTCCAGGATGGTACCTGCAGAGGTCTTCTAGGAATGCCTCTGCCTCAGGCAAACTCGCCCACTGGTAACATCAGAACTACAATTATCTCTGCAGATTAATAAAGGGTACCACATCTCTGGCAGCAATCTCAGGCAGGGACTCCCAGCAGTAATGAGTGCAAGCTACCAGGGCACGCAGGCACACACAGCTGTGTTTGTGGTCCCCGTGCTCACCATCACCCACACCCCACCACGCTGCCTCACCCGTTCCCCAAAACACACCCCTCTCCCCCTGCAAACTGATTGGTATTTTGATAAACAAACATGTCTCATCACATCTATTCCCTCAACTCGCCATGGAGGGGCTGCCACTCCCACCTGCATGTTCTTTGCAGAATAACATTAATGGGTTCAGCATCTTTGGTGTGACACCTTCCCTTGCCTCCTCCCAGCTCCAGGACACAGCCCCGGGCTCCCAGCTCCACAGCATCCTTCTGGCTCCAGCATCCTCCTGGCTCAAGGATGGGAACTGTCATCCCAAATGAACCACCTGCCCTGTTATTTGGGGATGCTGGGGAGAAAACAGCTCCTTTTCATTGTGAGAGTTAAAAAAAGTAATAATAATTCAAGGGTTTGTATCATGGCAGCAGCCTGGAGCACCTGCAGTCATCCCCTGGCACAGCACCAGGGAGCATCCACTGTGAGTGCAGGTGATGGGAGTGGAGGGCATCAGCCACTGCTCACAGTTTTTAGGGACACAATAAATCACAGAATCATACACTGGTTTGGGTTGGAAAGGACCTTAAAGAACACCTAGATCCATCCCCTCTGCATGGGCAGGGACACCTCCCACCAGACCAGGTTGCTCAGAGCCCCATCCAACCTGTCCATGAATACTTTCAACGATGGGGCTTCCACAACTTCCCTGGGCAACCTGTTCCAGTGTCTCACCACCCTCAATAACATCAGGGAGCCCAGAGCTCAGAAATGGGAAATCTGCAAGCCCCATCAGCCCTTCCCAGCCCAGGCAGGAGGCAGAGCCAGCTGGCATGTGTGC